CTTTCACAATTTGTAACAAAAAAAAATGGAGCATGGCTTATACACCCAAGACATCATTAGTTGTGGTTGCAGTGCTAATGGAAACAGTTCTCTAAACAATTTAATTTTATATACATGGAGCTCTGGTGTAAATGATCAGCTTGGCAGGAGAATCTATTCATTGCCTATTCATGAACTGTAGAAAGGCCTCATGGGAAACATACTGCCTTATGACTAGTTGCACTAGAAACTTCAGCTGGACCACTGTAGATGTGGTAGACTGTGAAAGAAGAGGGCTAAAAGTTTGGCCAGTACGGAGCTCATGTTAGTCTTCCACCCCCACAGCTCAGATTCTAAGCAGAAATAAAATCTTCACTTGGAGACTCTGTATTCATATGCTCTGTGTGGCTCAGGAATAAAAGAGAGAGAGCTAAAGAGCATGTAGTTTAAAACCATTTATTCATTCACTTATCCATCACTTGTGGACTTTTTTTTTTTTTTTTCTCCACTAAAAGCAACTGGGAGATCAATAACAGGCTGGCTTTGGTCTAAAGTATGCATCCAAGTATGACAAACTGCAAAATATTCTAGTTATCCAATTTATTTAAAAAATACTGTTCAAAAACAAAGGGTGCAGAAAAGTATTTCTGTTCAATTCCCTATTTAAATTAGCAGCTTTTGAGCAAGAAAACTGCTTTTCAAGCACTTCCTCCCTTACAGACTTTGTCCAAACTCTAGTGAGAAATGGACATTTAAGCGAATGCTCTTGAGGTACTTCCCTATGGAGGACATGGGATATGGATCATATGCTTTTTCCAACTGTTACCACACCTTGAAGACCTTTCGGTGTAGCTGGTAGGCAAGTGGAAAATTGTTAGTGCAGCAAGTGGGAAACACAAAAGCCACTAATTAGTGTTTTGGTTTGGTTTTCTGGAGGCCAATATTCCCAAAAGGTGTCTTTGTTGAAGAAGTCCATGGTATCCCCCAGCCAAAATGTCTTTGGAACTGGTACAGGAAGACATTATGGAACCCTTTACTTGCAAACATTTATCATCTTGGCTGCCACTAAGAATATTAAAGTTATATTTATAAGGTTTTTTTAACCTAAAGAAGCATAAAATATAAGAAAAAAGTGTAATACCAGGTATTTTAAAGAGGAGACATCTGTTAACAGCAGAAACTCACACTTCCTCAAAATTGTGTCAGAGCTATGAAAAGATGAAGAAGCTCCACAGAAAGCACAAGTCAAGACACCATGCAAGAGCTTAGCAGAAGAATCACAACAAATAAAAGAGGAAATTGACTTTTTAAATTTGGTTTCAGGAACACAGTAAAACCCAGACACTGAAAATGAAGAAGAAATACTAGGATTAATTTGTATGACTTTTACAAAAATGTCAAATGAGACTCAAATATATTAGTTATTACAGGTGGTAGGATACTTAAAAAACAAAATTCTAAAAAGAATTTGGGCTGTCTTATGACTGCATTCCAATATATTATCTTTAACATGTGGACACACTGGCCAGAATGGTAACTTATTAAAATGCAGAAAGCTAAGATTTACTAAAAACACCAGCACAGGCATGTCAGTCAGCTCCCTGGAGTGCCTCTGTGCATAATGTTCCTCATGGTGCAACTTCACCATCACCTTCAGCTGGTCAAAGGCCATGACACTGCCAAGGGGCTCCCCTCGCCCCCACCATACTTCTTTGTACTTCTGCTTTGTTGACACCAGTGACTTCAAGGCAAGTTGTAGTTGATCACAACTAAGATCAAATGGACTTTTAAAATTAATTACTTCCTTCTCAAACTCAGAATGCAAGGGAGGCAGCAGAAACATGAAGCCAGCAAAACAGACTTGTCCACTTCTGAGGCAATGCTGTCCTAGACTAATATGAACTGGCTTTGAAAATGCATCCTAAGAGCTTGTAGAGTGCCTACAAGAATTACCCAGTGAGTGACTGATGAGTGACTTGGTCTTCTGGAAATATATTTCACTCTAAAAGAGCAAAGAGAAATTCAAATATCAAACCTCTCTGTGTAACTGAAAATAATTATA